GGCTCTTGACTGGAAGCCAAATGCTTAACCATTTCCATTCCCTAGCAACTCCTTTTGTGTGTTGGTACTGAAGAGCGGCAATGTCAGTTTGAAGACTAAGGTGTGCTTGGGTCAGACCATGGTCTTTGCAGTTATTTCCTATGCATCTGAAAGCTGGATAGTGACTAAGGATGACAGTGTAAGAGTCAATGCCTTTGAGTTATGGTGTTGGAGAAGAGTACTGGATATCCTAAAAAGGGCTAAAAGAACAAACGAGTCCTGGAGACGGTGAAGCCAGGATGCTCCTTGAGGCAAGGATGTTGAAACTCCATCTCACATACTTTGGGTATGTGCGATTTCCTGCCTCTGGACACCTGCTGGAGGGTCAGCTATGAGTCAGTTCTGACTTGATAGCATGTGACAGTGACTCCTTTAGGAGGTCCACGAGGAGCCCTGGTGGTGCAGGAGCGAAATCCTCAGCTGCTAACTAATGGGGTTGCAGTTTGAGCTCAGGAACCATTTCCTCTGCATACAGCTTTGGAAACCTTGTGGGTAGGTTCGTTTTCTCATTTCACTTGACCTGCCTGACCTCTGTGGGAGAGTTTGTAACCCCTACTCCATTCAGGTAAGATTGTAATATCCAAAACTGAACTCCTGTGTGTTCTTTGTTAAGGTCACCTTCATATGGGGCTATTAATACAGAGTACGTCTTTTGGTTTTCTTTGGGTGTCATGCTAGTTTCCTCGAGCTGCCATGACAATACACAGTTAACCTGGTGCCCTCCAGCAGTAGAGTTTTACTCGCTCAGTTCTTGACACTGCTGTTGCTGCTATTAAGTGTTGCAGAAGCGACTCTGACTTGCAGCACCCTTGCGTAGAGCCAAGCAGCTCTCCGACGCAGCCCATCTCTCATCTTACTGTAGGCCTTCCTCTCTTCTGCAGACCTGCAACTTTTCCAAGTGTGATAACCTTTTCCAGTGACTGGTCCCCACTGAAAACATGCCCCCATAGGTGAGATGAAGCCTCACCATCCTTGCTTCTAAGGAACATTTTGGCTACACTTCTCTCTAGCCAGATTTGTGAATTCTTCTTGCAGCCCATACAATATTCAATATTCTTTGCCAACATCACCATTCAAAGGCGTCAGTTCTTTGTTAGTCTTCCACAGTCACAGTCTGGAGGCTAGAAGTCTAAAGTCAAAGTGCCAACAGGGCCATGCTCCCTTTGAAGCCTTTAGAGGGGGCATCACCAATTCGCATTAGCAGGTGCATTGAAATAAAACTAGCAAATAAACAACACTCTCATGGATCCCTCTCTCCCAGCATGAGTGTTCAGCCTTCCCAGGTCCCCAGAACTCTTTGAAGAAACCATGATCTAGTGCAGGTCACGGTTTTACAAATGGGAAGATGGTGTGGAGATGACCTTGTGAACACACACAACCATCTGGCCATCAGTAGACATGAGAATGAACCTAGGGGTCCTCACTTTCAGGGCAGCACTCAGCACCCCTCTAAGTATGGACCATTTGGGCTTCAAGATTGGCCAAAATTAGCAGTTTGGCATGGACATGAGCCTAACTACCAAATACCTAAAGCAGCATCTTTTCTGTCATTACTTCTTTATGTGAGAGCAAAGATGATGTATTTACATAGTTTTCCTTCCTGCACAAAACTCACATTTAAGTAAGCAAGCCATTACAAGTCATTACAATTTACTGGAAATATTTGGAGTTCTGGTGGCCTATTGTTAAAGACATTGTGCTGTCAACCCCAAGTCATGTGGTTTGAATCCACTGCCTGTTCCTACAGAGTAAGATGAGACATCTCCTCTTGGGCCATTTATGGTCTCTGAACATCCACTGGAGAGTCGGCTCTGCGTCAGTTCTGACTCAATAGCAATGAGTACTTTATTAAAACTGGAGGCAACAGTCAAGATGCAACATGAAATAAATAAATACAGATTGGTCAGTTGACCTAATAATGTATATTTTCTGTTGCATGAGTAAAACATTACTGTACACTCAATGGTGTCATCAAAGATGTACATGTTTATGAGAAAATACCTTCTGAAATATTTCAGTGGTTAAATGGGCGCTAGCAATATAAATCTGTGCTCTTGCACTAATGCTGTTATTGTTGTTTGGTGTCTTTGAGGTGTCTGACTTATAAGGACTCTGTATTACAGCACAATCCTATTCTAGAGTCCCTGTGTAGAGCAGAAGAAAACACTGCCCAATCTTGCACCACAGGACCAAAAAAAAAAATAAAAAAAAAAAATCCTGAAGGCACAAAAACATGAGCATGATGCTGAGTCTACCAAATCACAGCATGACTTTCATCTGCATGACAAAGAAAATTATCACCAGGTCATAATTGTGTGCCTGCTACAGTTGGGACCAAAGAATTGGGCGAAGGACCAGAATTGTCATATACACACAAGGGCTCCGGGGCTTCGACCCTGTAGCTATGTGGCTATTACCAAGCAGCCCAGAGTCATAGACGCTTGCTTGGCTTAAACTAGGTTATTGGTGCAAATCATTAAGGACACAGCCAGCCAAGCTTAATGGAGAGCTGGCCCTTCCTAGGCTGACACTGGCGGTTGTAATCTACTTTCAACTGGACTTTTCCTGAGGTCACCATCATTCCCTGGGCTTGCCCATAATTGCTAAGCTCAGGCACATGATGAGCTTAATGACCAGAAAGGACTTGAATGGTATGTAAACTCTTGTGGAGACCTAAAGTGGAGATAGGGTGCTTCAGCTTCCCACAAACCAAGTGCTCTAGAATGTAAGCTCAAACACAGGGCTGCGTAGCTCTCTAGATGTATTCTGAAGGGAGCTCTATAGTGCCTTGTGCTGCTAACCAAAAGGGAATTTATGACCTTTTAATTGTATCTCAATAAAGCTGTTATTAAATATATATATGTAAGCCCAAGAGGTCCTGAGCTGTTTTCTTTTAAGCAAGTGAGGTGGAAGTTGGACACATTTCTTTCCCATTGGTGAGAACTGAGTCACATGTCTACTTCTGACCAATGGGGATGCAAGAGTGTAGCGTCCTGATGCTCAACTCAAAAGCTGCTGTTCTGAGCAGAATATGGGGGAGATGTGGCTCCTTTGCTTGAGCTAGCTTCATCCACTCCCTCCTGGGTCCTGTCCTCAGTCTTTTCCTGGGGCTACCTGCTGCCACTTAGTTCTTTCTGTATTACTTTCCACATAGCAGCCAGAGAGATTCTTGAAATCCAGCCCTCACCTAATGTCCCCACTTCTTAAACCCTCCTTGACTCCCATTGGTAACTGGCAGTGCTCTGGTGGCGTAGTGGGTCAGGAGTTCTGTTGCCAACCCAAAGTCATGCAGTTTGAATCCACAGGAACAAGTTGGGCAATCTCCTCCCACATGATTTATGCCTCTGCAAACCTGCTAGGAGGTCAGTTAATGGCACATAACAACAACCACCACCACTGGTCTGAGTGAGGGAAAGACATGGCCCTGACCAAGCCCTGGGGTGCGATGATTAAGAGCTGGGCTGCTAACCCAGGTGACTGAAACCCAGCAGCTCAGTAGAAGAAATATGTGTCAGGTCAACTTTGGGGAAACCGTATGGGGCAGTTCTACTCTGTCCTATAGAGTTGTTATAAACTGAAATCAACTTCTCAGGCTGGTGGTGCAATGGTTAAGTGCTGAACTGCTTGCTAATCCAAACTGGACTATTGGTGGGTTGGTTCTAAACCACCAACCACTCTGAGGAAGAAAAATGAGGCATCCACCTTCAGTCAAGATGGACAGCCTTGGAAATACTAAGGGGCACCTCTATTCTGTCTTATAGGGAGTTGGATTAACAAAGCGACTGTAGCAATGGACCCAAGTGTGTTAGAGATGGTAAGGATGGAACAGGATAAAGCAGGTTGTTCGTAGATCACTATGAGTGTCAGTTGACTCGATGGCAGATAACAATAATAATAATATGAGTTGAATTGACTGGGCTGCTAGGGGCAGAACTGTGGCAGACACAGAGTAGATGCTCGAGAAATACTTATGACTCAGCAACAATAGCAAAGTTCAACAGGGCAGCAAACAAGAAGTGCTGGCAGGGTTGTGGAGAGATTGGAACTCTTATTCACTACTAGTGGGAATGGTACAACCACTATGAAAGGCGGCTGGAGCTTTCTCAGAAAGTTGGAAATAGACATACCATTTGACCCAGCAAGTCCACTACTAGGAATATACCCTAAAGAAACCAGATCTGCCACCCAAACAGATGTGTGCATCACCCTTAATTATTGCTGTGTTATTCACAATAGCAAAGAGATGGAACCAACCCAAGTACTCATCAAGAAATGAATGGATAGAAAATGATGGTATAGTCACACAATGGAATACTATGCAGCACTGAAAAACAAGGAACTTATAAAAGATTACACAGCATAGGTAACCCTGGAAGACATTATGAGTGAAATATCTCAGTCATGAAACACTGCATAACACCACAGTTATAAAATAGGACTGACATTGGGTTGGAGAGAAACAGAAAAGAGGGGATAAATAATGAACACTGCATTGGAACAGATAAAGGAAAGCACTGTTTAAAAGGAATATGTGATTAGACATTGTTTGCGTGACAACAGTCCAGAATCAGAGGTGCATAGCAAAGTGGACAGGGAGAGGGGAGGGAGGAAATTATGCCATAATGAATGAATATTTCTTTTTTTTTTTTTAAGTGAATTAGTGGGGTTAGGGAGGAAAATGTGCAACAATGAATGAATGAAAATCCAATTTTTATGTAAACTTTTGTTAAAATCACAATTAAAAGGAAAAAATAAAAATAACTTATTAATAGGAAAAAAGAAAAATAAGGAGCTGACAGGGGCAAAGGTGGTGTTATTAGTTAGAACTTCGAAGAACCAGGAGGCTGTCTTCAGCTGAGGCAATCACCTGTTCAGAGAGCTGGGCCTGAGCTGGGTTGGGTAAGGGAGATGCAGGGGTTGTGTTGGCCGCACTGGGGGTCTCACCTGGATCTGTCCTCCAGATGAGCGGGAGGCGGTGCAGAAGAAAACCTTCACCAAGTGGGTGAACTCGCACCTTGCCCGTGTGGGCTGCCACATCGGGGACCTCTATGCAGACCTCCGCGACGGCTTCGTGCTCACCCGGCTCCTTGAAGTGCTGTCTGGGGAGCAGCTGGTAAGAGGGCCTGAAATGGGATGCAGGGAGGATGGAGGTAGGCGGGGCAGCACAGTGCTGAGCTGCGGGTTGGGCATCTCTGGAAAACTAGGTTCTAAGCAGCAGGTCTTGCCCAGGTGGATCTTCCCAGTAGGGACTTGGTGGAAGGGCCTTCTTTGGAAGAAGGGGTTTTGTGGAACTTGGTTTCGGGTAGCCTTGCGCGAACCAGAACTCTGTTGTAGTAGTTTCGCTAGGATCAGGGGCAGGACTCTGGAACACTTCCAGAAGGGGTGGGATAGTTGGAGAAGAGAGATTTTGAGACAGGGTGGAACCCGGGCTCTACAGTAGCAAGGGGCAGGCTTGTGAAAATGGAAAGAACTCTCTTTTGTTCTGTGAGTAGACTTTACTGGAAGGAGGAAGCTTGGGCCCTGTGCATCTGGGATGCTACAGAGCACAGAGGGAACTACTTTTTAGGGGCATGGCTTGCTGCATTAATGGGAGTTGTGTTTCTGACCTTGGATGGGACGCTCACAGGCCTAGAGGTTCAGAGGCCTGGAGTTTGGCGTTGTGGGGCTTGCCTGGAAGGTAGGAACAAAGGCTACTAAAAAGTTATTGATGTTATGTGCCATCAAGTCGCCTGTGACTCATAGCGACCTTATGTATAACGGCCTTAAACCCTGCTCTATCCTGTGCCAATTTCACTGTATCTGACACACCTACTCCAATTACCCCAGTCACTGAATCAATCCACCTCATAGAGGGTCTTCCTCTCCTTCGCTGTCCCTTCACCCTCCCAAGCATGACGTCCTTCTCCAAGGATTGGTAACTCCTTGGAGCATGTTCAAAGTATGTCAGACGAAGTTTCAGAGTCCTCGCCTCCAAAGAGAAACCTGGTTTAACCCTCTCTGGCATGAATCTGTTTGTTTTCTTAGCAGTCCTTGGTATATTCAATACTCTTCTCCAACACCACAGCTCAAAGGCATCAATTCTCCTTCTATCCTCCCTAGTCATTGTCCAGCTCTGACGCAAAGCAAGTGATTGCAAAGACCATGATCTGTATCAGGTGCACCTTAGTCTCCAGACTGACATCATTGCTCTTCACTACTTTGGAGAAGTCCCTAATAGCAGACTTTCCCATCGCAATATGCCTTTAAATTTCTTGGCTGCTGGTGCCAAGAGTGTTGACTGTGGAGCCAAGCAAACTGAAGCTGTCAATAATTTCAATCTCTTCACCATCTATCATGATGCTGTCAATTGGCCCAGTGGTGAGACTTTGTTTTCTTGATATTTAGCCTCAATCCCTGTTTAAGGCTGCAGTCCTTGACCTGCAGCAAGTGCTTCAGGTCCTCCTCAGTTTCAGCAAGCAGGGTTGTGTCATCTGCATAACACAGATTGTTGATGAATCTTCCTCCAATCCTGATGCCACATTTCTCCTCATAGAGCCCAGCCCCCGGATAATCTGTTCTGCATATAGATTGAAAAAAGTATGGAGTTAGGACACATCCCTGGGGTACATCCTTCCCAATTTTGAACCATGCAGTGTTTCCCTGCTCTGTTCTGACAATTGCCTCCTAGTCCAAGTATAGGTTTCGCATTAGCCCAATCACATGTTCTGGTATTCTTATTCTTCTCAGAGTCAGCCACAGTTTGTTGTGATCCACACAGTCAAACATCTTTGCATAATCAATGAAACACATTCTTCTGATACTCCCTGCTTTCAGCCAAGATCTATCTAGCATTAGCTACAATATTCCTAGTACCATGACCCCTTCTAAATCCAGCCTGCCTGAACTCGCTCAGCATTTCTTAAGCTCAAGGAACTGAAGAACAAATTCAAACCTCGAGTTGCTATACTTAAGGATGCTTTGGGCAGAATACTAAATGATCCAAGAAGTATTAAAAGATGGGAAGAGTATACAGAGTCATTGTACTGAAAGGAATTGGCTGACACTGAAGAATTTAATGAAACAACATATGAGTGAGAGTGTATGATGATGAAGGAAGAAGTTCAAGCGGCTTTGAAGGAATTGGCAAAAAATAAGGCCCAAGGAATTGATGGTATACCAATTGACATATTTCAACTAAAAGATGCTGCCCTAAATGTGCTCACCAAGTTGTGTCAAGAAATTTGGAGGACAACCACTTGGCCAACTGACTGGAAGAGATCTATATATTTGTTCTCATTCCAAAGAAAGGTGATCCAACAGAGTGTGGAAATTATCGAACAATATAATTGATATCACATTCAAGCAAGATTCTGCTGAAGATTATCCAAAAATGACTGGAACAGCACATCAACAGAGAACTAGAAGGGATAATGCTACAGAATTTGTGTACTGGCTGGGTGTGACTTGTTTGGGATGGGCGTTGCTCTAAGCAGGCTCCACCCACCTTCTACCAAAGAGAGTCTAGTGTGGGTATGAAATAAGACGAAAAATTTGAGGACTAGGGCAGAGAACCAATGGGATGAGCAGAATTATGACTACAGGCGAGCGTGGGGCGTCACTGTAGGAGGCGTGGTTAGAGCAATAGGAAAGGACCTACTGCAGGGCTTTTGTGGTTTAGCAGTAACAAGCGGCTCTGCAATCCCAAAGGTAACTGGTTCAAATCCACCAGCCACTGCTCAGGAGAAAGACGGGCAGTCTCCTCTAGGCTGTGAGTTGGTTGTGACGTGATGGTACATAACAACTTGCTATGAGATCAACGGGGATAGGTTTGTTCTTTAGTTGGTTTTCTGTGGGAAGAGATAGAGCTTCTTTAGAAGAGATTTTGCGTCTTGAACATGGCAAGAGGAGCACCAGGACTTCATAACAAGGAATATTCGTTATTTCACTGACATGAGGTGTGAGAAAGGATAGATCTGTGGTTTGGACCAGGTTGACAGTAACTGGTAGTGGAAGGGGTGAAGGTTGCTGTTTTGTAATAAGGAAACTTGGATATGATCTGTGGACAAACTCTGAGCTTGGGATGTTCTGGGAGTGACTGTGGAAGGGGACATGGTTTACCTGGAAAGGGCAAGGTGGGATATGATCAGGATTAGCCTCTCCCAGGAACAGGACTTATTTGAAATGGGTGGAGCCTGGGCTTTGCATGCTCTTGATAAAGTCTCTGACTGCATAATGCCCCGTCCCCCCTAGCCGAGGCCCACGCGCGGCCGCATGCGGATCCACTCACTGGAGAACGTGGACAAGGCCCTGCAGTTTCTGAAGGAGCAGCGTGTGCACCTGGAGAATGTGGGTTCTCATGACATCGTGGACGGGAACCACCGGCTGACCCTAGGACTGGTCTGGACTATCATCCTGCGCTTCCAGGTGAGCCCCCAGAAACCCTATCCAGCCCTCCCCTCACAGTGGGACCTTCGAGGGGCACTTCTCTACCCACTCACCCATTAATTCACTCATTTATCTATTCCAAAATGAATAACTATTGCCAACTGTGAGCACTCATAAATTCTCTCTATGCTGGGAACTGTTTTAAGCACTTTTTTTTTAATTCATTGTTGCACGTTTTCTCCCCTTTCTCCTCTCCTCCCACCCCCACTCAACAATGCAGCCGTTATTCCAGATTTTTCTTATACATATAATGAATAATCATATATTCCTTTCAGTCAGTTCTTCCCCTTCCCCTCATCTGTTCTAAAGCAGTGTTCATTATCTATCTACTCTTTCCCCATTCCCTCCCCAACTCCTACACGTCTGTCCTATTGGTAATAGCTGTGTGATACAGTATTTGTCCTTTGTGACTGAGATATTTCATTTAGTATAATGTCTTCCAGGCTCACTCATATTGTGCAATGTTTTGCTATTTCGCTGTTTTTCAATGCTGAGTAATATTCCATTGTTTGACTGTATCATCAATTTTCTATCCATTCGTTTGTTGATGGATACTTGGGTTGCTTCTATCTCTTTGCTATTGTGAATATTGCAGCAATAAACATGGATGTGCAAGGGTTTGAGTTGTGGGTATGGTTACTTTAGGGTATATTCCCAGTAGTGGAATTTCTGGGCAAATGATATTTCTATTTCCAACTTTTTGAGAAAGTGCCAGACCACCTTCCATAGTGATTGTATCATTTTTTATTTCCATCAGCAATGAGTAAGAGTTTAAATCTCTCCACAGCCTCTCCAGCATTTGTTGTTTGCTGCCCTATTGAGCTGTTATTGTTGGTGGGGTGAGATGATATATCTCATAGTTGTTTTGTTTTGTATTTCTCTAATAGTTAGGGATTTTGAACAATTCTTCATGTGTTTTATTGCAATCTGAATGTCTTCTTTGATGAAATGTCTATTTATATCCTGTTCCCATTTTGTGATTGGGTTGTTTACCTTTTTCCTGTTGAGGTACTGGAGTGAGTATTCTATAAAGTTTAGGTAACATATGTCATTGCCAAATATTTTTTCCCAATCTATAGCTTTCCTTATTACCCTGTTGGAGAAGGTTTTTGATGTAGTTAGGGACTTGATTCTTAGAAGATCCCATGCATCTGTTTTATTCTTTCCTGGTTGTAGATGTTTTAAGCACTTTCAACATTTAACCTGCACCCAGTCCCAACTCAACTCACTGTTGTCGGGTCGATTCTGATCCACAGTAACCCTCCATCAGGTTTATCAGTTCGTGAATCTTTATGGGAGGAGAAGTGATAGAGTCAAACCAACTACCTTTCAGCTAGCAGCCCCAAACACAACACACTCTGCTACCAAGGCTCCTTTGAATCTTCACAGCATGTGTGTGTTTACCCACCAGCATTGAGTTAATTCCTCTTCACAGTAACTCTGCATAGGGTTTCCAAGGCTGCAAATTGTTAGAGGAGGAGACTGCATAATGTCCACTTTCCTCACACAATAAACTATGCATGACCTCCTGACTCATATGTTATATTCTTTTTTTTATCCCAAGGAGCCCTGGTGGACCAATAGATAGGCCCCTTGCCCCTTTGTGAGAAGAAGATGTGGCCATCTGCTTCCCTAAGGATGACATCCTTGGAAACACCACTGGGCAGTTCTGTGATGTCCTCTGGGGTTGCTATGAGTTAAAATCAACTCAGTGGCAATGGGTATTTTTACCTCATTTTTAAAATGAGAAACTGAGACTCAAAGAGATTAAGTAACATGGCCAAGGTCACAGGTGACACACACAAGGTGTGGTGGAGCTACAAGTCCAATCTAGGCAATCAGGCTCCGGCAGAGAAACAGACATGATATTTGCCTTCATGGAGTTTACGTTAGCTGGGGTGGGGGGGAGGGAAGCCAGCAATAAACAGACACGTGAATAAATAAAAAAGCACCAGCTCTGGGCAGGGAAGTGAAAAGAGCTATGCAGAAAAGAAGCAGTATGCAGAGAGCTGCTGTTGGGACGACCCTCGTGACGACTGTGTAGCCACATGTCAACCTCACAGCCATGATTCCATCACCACAACTGTCTCACTAAAGCTCTCCCCTGCTTTCACTGACCTTGTACTTCATTAAACACGCTGTCCTCCTGCAGCCCCACATCCCATCTGAGGACACACCCCAAACAAGCAAGTCTGTCCATGTTCTGTTGTGATCCAGAAGGCTTTCTATAGCCTAATTTCCATAAATAGATCTACAGACCTTTCTTCCTTGTCTCTTAGTCTGGAAGCTCTTTTGAAACCTTTCTTCCATGGGGGAAAATGCCTTACTATCAAATTGAACCGAATTCATTGTGACCCTCCATTGGGTTTTCAAGGCTGTAAATCTTTGTGGGAGGAGATGGTCTATCTTCCTCACATGAATGGCTGGTTGGATTTGAACCATCAACCTTTTGGTTAGCAGCCTAACATGTTACACACGACACCCTGGGGTACAGCTTTCAGCATTGTAGCACTATGCAAGCCCCCCCCCACTAGATTATAAGAAAGCAGTAGAGGGAATAGAGATGTCACATTGCCGGTGGATGGATTTTAGACATGGTGGTGGTTAAGAAGGCTTCTCAGGAGGCGGCCCTGAAGCTGATGACACCCAAAGGTGAAGAGGAGAGTGTGCCAGGCAGGAACACAGCGAAGAGAAGGCCCTGAAGTGGATGAAGAGAAAGACAACCCGTATGACTGGAGAAGAGGCAAGGGAGAGACAGGAGATGACCCCTTTTAGTGCTTTATTATAAGCTGTTCTTTTATGTCCCTCAGTCATTTGTCAGATTGTCACACTGCAGTGGCTTTCAAAGTGCCACAGTGCTGGAAGCTATGTCACTGGCACTTCAAACACCCACAACTTGCAGATTAACAATTTCCAGACCAACAGAGAAAAGGAATAAAGACCTGGAGATTTATTTCTGAAAAAGAGCTGGAGTGTTCCTTGGAGATGAGAATGGTGAGACTTAGTCTCACATGATTTAAACATGTTGTTAGAAGGGGCTAGTTGAAGGAAAAGAACATCATGTTGGGAAAAGTGGAGGGTCCATGAAGGAGAAGAAGGCCCTCAGTGACATGGAGCGATGCAGTGGCTATGGTGGCTTTAGCAAGAGTGGAGATTGTGAGGACGGTGCAGGTGCGGGCAGGCTTTTTGTAAATGTCCTCTCTGGACAGGCTTGTTGGTGCTTCAACAGTAGCTGATGCAAAGGTGGGCTTTAAGTGTTGGGCTGCTGACAGGAAGATTGGTGGTCTTGAATCCACAAGCTGCTGCACAGGAGAAAGATGAGCAGTCACCGCAAGATTTACAGCCTTGGAAATCCAACGGAGGGTCACCATGATTGAGTTGGAACGGGCTCAATGGCAGTGGATTTGGTTTCCTTGTTTATTTAGTGGATGCGAAGGAGCCCAACTGGTACAGTGATTTAATGTTTACTGCTAACCAGAAGGCCAGTGGTTCAAATCCACCAGCTACTCTGTAGGAGAAAGATGTGGCCAGTTCTTCTGTAAAGATTTACAGCCTTGAAAACTCCATAGGGCAGTTCTGTTCTGCCCTACAGGGTCACTATGAGTTGGAAACGACTGGACAGCAGCAGGTTTGATTTTTAAATCATTGCATAAGCAGCCTAATGATCTGTGGTTCACGGTCTGGATTTGATTCTGACTAAAATGGGGCAAGATTACTCAAGGAGAGGGTGTAGTCAGACTTGGAAAGTCTGGATTGGAGTAGTCATCCAAACTGGAATCCAAGAGTCCAAGGGAGGCTGGAGCTGACCCAGAGAAGGGTTGTGGGAAACGTGTGGGGCGGCAGGAATGGGGGAGAAGGATATAACTGGAAATATGAACAGGAAGTGGCCTAGATGGTCTGCTGGGGACAAGGGAGAGTTATCTAGGGTGAGACTCAGGGCTCCAGCCAGTGAACAAAGGATTGTGAGCTGCCTGAAAAAGGGTCAGGAAGGAAAGATGGGTTAAGTGGAGGTGCTGAGACTCAGTTGGGACATGGCAGTGGTGAAGGACTGGGTCACCTATGAAGGACTGGGTCACCTGTGGAGGACAGTGTCACCTGTGAAGGACTGAGTCACCGGTGAAGGACTGGGTCACCTGTGGAGAACTGGGTCACCTGAGTAGGTGTCTAGTTCATTGGGAAGGTGGTTGGGGAGCTGTGGGACTGGATGGAGGTATGAGCTTTGTCAGCAGGGAATTAGAGACTAGGAAGGGGAAGGTCAGGGGGCTTGGGGGCAGTTAGAACCTTACGCTAAACTGGTTCCTTCTCTTAGAACCCAAATGCCAAACTCAGCTCTTTTTTTAAATTTTTTTATTTTGTACTGGTTTACTTATAAATTCCGTATACATTGTTTTTTTCACACCACATCTTTCCCATTTCCTTTACTCACCCCTCAAATTGTGTGACCCTATGATTACTCCTCCCCACCACCCATTTGCTCCCACCCCTTGGATCCTGATACACATTCTACAATAATAGTCTTATATAGTATTTTTCCTTATAGGACTGAGCTAGTTCACTTAGGTAATGCTTTCCAGTCCCTCCCAAGTTAGGTAGTGATTTTCAAAATCATTGATCCTGAATGCCACATAGTATTCCATTTATGAATATACCATAATTTCTTAATCCGTTCGATTGTGGTTGGACATTTGGGGTATTTTCATGTTCTTGTGATGGTGAATAACGCTGCTATGAACATTGGTGTACAAATCTCCATTTGTGCCTCAGTTCTAGTTTTCTTAGGGTATAGAAGTGGAATAGCTGGGTCATATGGAATTTTTATGTCCAGCTTTTTGAGAAAATGCCAAACTGCCTTCCAGAGTGGTTGTACCATTTTACAATCCCACCAGCAGTGTATGAGAGTTCTTACCTCATTACATCCTCTCAAACTCAGCTCTTAAATACAGGACCCAAATCTCAGACACACAGGTTTGTAATCCACCCTAGACACTGAGGCATTCACACACCATAGCTGAAGCAATGGGCTCAAGCACAGCAGACTGTGAGAATGGCACAGGATTGGGCAGACTTCCCTGCTGTTGTGCAGAGGGTCACTAACAGTTGGAGCCAATTCAGTGGCACTGAACGATGACCTCCTGCTGTCCTCCAGTTTTTACATTTTAATGGTGAAGCAGTGAGCCAGGTGAATAAGCTGAGTGTCTGAATGGCGATCAGTGCTAAAACCAAAGACCAAACCCATTGCCAGTGACTGACTCAATTCTGACTCATAGCAACTGTGTAGGGCAGAGTAGAGCTGCCTCCAAGGGCTGCCAAGGCTTTGATCTTTACAGAAACAGATTGCCACAGCTTTCTTCAGGTGGTTTTAAACAAGTGCTTTTTTGGTTAGCAGCCTTTGCATAACCACTGCACCACCAGTTGTTATGTGCCATCAAGTCAGAACTGACTCATAGCTGACCCTCCAGTGGGTTTTCAGAGGCTGTAAATCTCAAGGGAAGAGATCTTTTCCCCATCTTTCTCCCTGGTGGAATTGAACCTTGAGGGGAGATAATAAAACAGGGACAGGGGATATGAGTTCTGGTGGCTTAATGATAGCTGCCAACCCAAAGGCAGGTAGTTTGAATCCACCAGCTCTTCCCATGTGACTTACAACCTCTGAAAACCCACTGGAGCCTCACCTAAGAATGAGACAGGCAGATGCTGGTGGATTTAGTGGTGAGAGAGGAGTGAGTAATTAAGCAGGGTTAGTGAGGGGAGGTTGAAAGAACTTTTGCTTTTGTCCTGAGACAGAGCCACGGGATGATTTTGAGGCACATGATCTGACTTGAATGTTCCCTGGGTCCCTCTTACTGCACATGAGGAGCAGGCTGTGGGGACAGGAACAGGAACACCATGGAAGAGGCCACTGTACTGGCCCAGGTGGAAGATGACAGTAGCCAAGATGCCCAGTTGGGATACTTCCCGAGAAACAGACCAAATCCAGCACCACTCTCCCCATTTACAAGGTGTCCTGTCCCCATCTATTTCCATTCCAGCACAGGGTTTAGGGGATGGGATCTCCCAGCTATGAGGTCCCAGTGGCCATTCTTTTTATCATTACAGATTCAAGTCATCAAAATTGAGACCGAGGACAACAGAGAGACTCGCTCAGCCAAGGATGCGCTGCTCCTGTGGTGTCAGATGAAGACAGCCGGGTGAGCTCCACCTGCCCCTGATCTTTGGGCTCCAAGGTGAGAGTGCACAGACCAGCCTTGTACTCAGTGTCACAAATTACAACTGAATCACTGATTGTAAAACAAAACAAAACAAAACAATTTTCACTTCTCTAAACTTGGCCCCATAAAAACCTAGAAGGTCGGGTTCACATTTGGAATTCTTGGTCTCAGAGATCAATGTTGCCTTCTCCCACTTCATCCTGCATTTCTCAAGGCTTCATGTGCACTTGTGTGGACCCCTAAACCTATGCTCAAGCTCAGCCCCGCCATCTCCACCAGCCACACCTTGGATGCACCTGCTTCAGGAACCTCTGGGTCTTTGACATCACCCATGTGGCTGAGAAGGGGGTGCATGTTCTGATTGTCAGACCTCATTGTGCCCCCACCTCAGTGCCTGTACCCCAAGTGCCCTCTGGAGGACAGTCCTGGAGGGAAGTAGGGAGGGGCGAGAATGGGGTGGGCCCTTGTGACTCATCCTCTTGGGGCTGTCTGTGTGTCTGTCTGCCTGCCTGACTGGTAATGCCATCTATTTCTCCAGGTATCGATCATTAGCTCGACCATCTCCTTTTTGTTTCTATCTCTCTCCCTCCCTCCCTCTCCTCTCCTCTCCTGCCTCTTTCTCTCATCTCCCTGGCTCCCCACCTCTCTCACTTTTCCTCCCCCCTTCCTTCTCCCCTTCTGTTTCTCTCTCCTCTAACCCCCCTGGCCCTCCTCATCTTTCTCTCTTTTCTGCCTCCCTCTCGCCCTCCTTCCTTCCCTCCCTCCATCTCATCTCTCTTCCTCTCGTTTTCACACCTCTCTTGTCTCTTTCTGTCCCTGACCCTCCTCCTCCCCCTCTGTCTCTGTCTCTCTCTTCCCCATCTTGATTTTCCATCTCTACCTCCCTCTCCCTCAGTTACCCTGAAGTAAACATCCAGAATTTCACCACCAGCTGGCGGGATGGCCTGGCCTTCAATGCCCTTATTCACCGGCACAGGTACTGCTTTCCCTGTACTGTCCCTACCTGTGTTTCCTCACATGTAACTGTACACAGGTATGTACAGATGTACACAGGCACACATACACCCTGTGCTCTGCACAAATGAGCATTTCTCTGCACACTCAGTCTTCACATATATACTCAGATACACACACCCCTGGCCAGATGACATACCCTGAGTGCACACAGAAACACATGTGCTGTCACACTGATAAATGCACACACCTGTGGATAGGCATGCACGTGCATAGCCTGTACTTGCTACTTAGATAGACAGTGGGGAGCTCTGGTGATGTAGTGGGTAAGGAATTGTGCTGCCAACACAAAGCCAAGTGGTTCAAATCCAACAGCTGCTTCACAGGAGAAACGTGGGCAATCTCCTCTCGTGTGGTTTACAACCTCCGCAAACCTGCTGGAGAATCAGCTCTGAGTCGATTCTGAATTAATGACAATGAGTTGCTTTCTTTTGAGGGTGGACACTTCCCACATGACTGCCCACTCTGGTGTGTTCGCAGGCCTCCTCCCATCAAAAGATCCTTCCTCAAGGAGAGCCCCAAAGTCCCCCTCTTGGTCCTGACACACTCACCACTCACCTATTCACCCCTCATAACCACACCTCAGAGTCACACCTGATACTGAGCTGTCTGGCAGGTGGGCGCTAAGACATGGTGACACCTATATCATGGTCATCCACTGGACAGATTGTGGAAACTAAGGCTCAGAGGCTGGCAGGAACTTGTTCTGGTGGAGCTGGAGACAGAGCCAGCTTGTCCTGCTGTAGTCACACTCCCTCATGTTCCCTAATGTCACACACACTCACACTCCTGCACCTACGGGGAGAGCTGGTCCCACTGCACACAGAGACACCCATGAGCTGGGGCCAGGCCTGGGGTAGATAACATTCGCCCAGTGCTTTTTATGCGACATTGTGCTGAGGGCTTTCTAGCCAGCCATGTGATCCTCAGCAAGAGGCAAATGCTATTGTTAACCCCATTTTACAAGTGAGGAAACTGAGGCACAGAGAAATGAAGTAGTTTTCCAAGAGTAACACAGCCAGAGAGTGGCCGAGCTAGACTTCACACTTCTAACCACTACAGTATGTTGCCGTTGTGTATCATAAAGTTGGAACCGATGCATGGCTGACCCTCCAGAGTGTTTTCAGAGGCAGTTAATCACACAGGAGGAGACTGCCCATCTTTCTCCCATAGAGCAGCTAGTGAGTTTGAACCATGTGCCTTTGGGCAGATGGCACAACTCCTTACTACTAGGCCACAACAGCTCCATCCACAATGATACGGCATGTAAACACGCCTAAGAAGACACCCTTGTATCACCACATCAGACATGTGCATTCCTATGCAATACAGCTAGATGTCTGTATACTCCAGACCTAACATTCATTCCAAATGTCAGGTAGTGTCCTAGGGACACTCATCACATTTGCAGTCTACCCCACACTGACTTACCTGTACATATACCTATGCACACACAGGCCAGCTTACCTGGGCCCACACACATTCACAGAGACGTGTCCCAGTCCATCACACTCATACCTACAGGAAAGAAAGCCACCAAGACACTCCACAGTCCATCTATCTCCCCTTCAGTTGTGTTTGGTATCCTCACTCTTCCTTTGACCATGGTGGGGCTCAGACAAGGATGCCTTTTATCTCTTGCTTATTCCCAACTTGCTCCCTGCCCGCTCTGTCCCCTATCCAGGCCTGATCTCGTGGACTTCAGCAAACTCACCAAGTCCAACGCCAACTACAACCTGCAGAGAGCTTTCCGCACGGCCGAGCAACATCTAGGGCTGGCGCGTCTGCTGGACCCCGAGGGTGAGCTGGCACGAGCTCGCTGGGGACTTCCTCTTGGGAACTCCCAACCCCAATGCCACGGTCAACTTAGCTCCACCATAACTCAAACACCATCTCAAATCCCAACCTGCTGTCCATCTCAACCCTCATCCCCTTTCTCATCTCACTCTATCCTCTCTATACCTGCCTTAGTTCTCTAGTGCTGCTGTAACAGAAATATCACAAGTGGGTGGCTTTGACAAACAGAAATTTATTATTTCACAGTTTAGGAGACAAAAGTCTGTATTTAGAGTGCCAGCTCTAAGGGAAGGCTTTCTCTGTCAGCTATGGGAAATGCTTTTTTTTAAGCTTCTGCTCTTGGTTAACCTTCCTATACAGTGGCCTCGCTCTCTCTACATAGAAATGGCTCAATAGAGAAATTATGTTGTTGTTGTTGTTGTTGTTGTTGTTAAGTGCCATTGAGTCGCAGGCAACTCATAGCGACCCTATGAAGGAGAGTCCTCGACGCTTGGGTGCCTTTCATCCTCTCTCCAGGTTCATAGGGTTTCCGGAGGCAAGCTATTATGGAAGTGGACGCCACTCCTCCTTCCACGCTTGTTTAATCGGGGAGCTCCACCGCACTCTCAGTCCGCACTGGGTAGCCAACCATTAACGCATTTGACATGTCCGTGTCACAGTGTTCAGCCTCACAGCAACCACAAGTGACCGCGGGACAGCAACTTGTACACCAGGGCTATACACCTAGAGGAATGTCTGAACAAAAACAATGAAAGACTGGTGCCTTCAACCCAAGGCCAAGCGTGGCTTCCCTGGCTCTTGGAGGCAGAGTCGCCTTTCTCCAGAGACCACCACAGCACAACACAACACAACTCCCACGTACACAGCATCATGCTCTCTGGCCAAAGGATCACAGCCACCCTGGGTGGGGCAAACCTGGGAAATTATGACTTCTTCAAATTTGGTAGGTCTGGTGGCTTAGTTGAAAGGTATTGTTCTGCCAACCCAAAGACATGCAATTCAAATCTACTGGCTGCTATTCCATGGGAGAAGATGGGCAATCTCCTTCTGCATGATTAACTGCCTCTGAAAACCCAGTTGGAGGGTCAGCTATGGATCTGTTCCAACTGAACACAACAACAACAACTGGTCTCATGAGGAGGAAAGAGTAATCACCACCAGCATCGGCCCAAAGCTGGTATCTGTGAGGCACAACATCCCTCACCTCCTCTCTTCATCTGCTTTAGGAATTCTGACACCAGCTGTCCCTCCCACCACACTCTCCTTCTCTTTTGGGTTTCAGAATTCATTGCAGTGGCCACACGGAAGGCAGAGACCATACTTAGTTGTGGTGATTATGAGAGAAGTAACAGGGACAGAAATGACTCAGAACACAGCTCTTTGAGCAGGATAACCTCTTCTTGGCTGTACTTGAAGGCAAGCCTCTTGGGTGTCTTGGTAGTCGCTGCCTCTGCCTTGTTCAGGTAAAGCTTCACCAGTAAATGCTGAAGAGCATTTCACTCCACCAGTGAGCCTCAGCCCAAAGGCCTTTGGTTTTCCTGCGCCACAGTCGGCAAGTTCACCATGCTCTCTTCAGTTTTACTGCCTCTCCCACCACAGTTCTTTGTCATTGTGTCTCATCATCTTGTACTTTCCCCAGACAGTTCTCCAGGGCCTAGGAGTTTCTTATCACAGCAACCCCAGGCCCAAAGGATGATCTTTTTCTCTCATTTCTTCTTGGTTTTAGTTAAGTCCTCCCTTATCTGCTTGCTTCTTTTTTCTATTATCCCTTATTAGGAAAAAAGATTTGACTCAAGGAAGAATGTGACTTCAGGAAGGCAGTGAGAGGTAGTAGCTTGAATGAGGTTGGTAAAAGTGGTGACCGAGCAAAGTATGGTGACATGAGTCATTGCCACAGGCTAGAGGTTAGAATTTATGATTCATCACGAAACGGAGGATAACACAATACCAGGAATCATCACCTACCTGAGTTAACACGTATTTTTAGCGGATAATTCAACTGGGAAGAGCAGAAGGTCAGTCAAAGAAAGGACAGCCTTCCAGCAAATGGCTGTAACGCTAGGCTCAAGCATCGCATCATGATGAAGGCAAGATAGGACCAGCTTAATTTAATAACGTCCCACCCTTAGTCCACTCAATGATTGTGTGCGAGTCGCAAAGTCTGTGACTAAATCTCTCTCATTGCGGTTGAGTTAGAACCAACACATAGCTGACTCTCCAGGTTTTCTGCAGAGGCTGTGAGTCACGTGGAAGGAGATTACCCAGCTTTCTCCCGCAGAGCAGCTGGTGGATTCAGCCTATCAGAGAAACACCGCTTTTGGATTAGCAGCTCAGCTCCCCAATGGCTGAGAAGTACAGGAAATAGTCCAATTGCTAACTTGCATTTTATCTCATTCATACTTCAAAAGAGATTGATTCATACAGGGTACATTAATCCTCATTCCGTAACATATAACAAAGACAACCTATTCCCAAATGGGATCATGACACACAAGTGTAATAGTTAGGATTTACCACACAGTTTTTTGGGACATAATATCCCACCTGTTGGACCCCTAAAATCTGTATCTTTGCCATATGCAAAGCACATTCACCTTATCACATCATCCCAAAATCTTAAACCAACTCCAAGTCCCAAATCTCACTTTCTGAATCATCTAAATTAAATATAGGTGAGGTTTTGAAAATATTCCACCCTGGGGGGGGAAATTCTTTTTTCTGTAAATTTATAAAATCTACATTGAAAATTATCTAATTCTAAAATATAAGAGTGGGAGAGCTGTGGTGGCCTAGTGGTAAGAAGCTACACTGCAAACCAAAGGTCTGCAGTTCGAATCCATCAGGTGCTCCATGCGCAAAGGTTGGGCATTCTCCTCTTGTGTGATTAAACTGCCTCTGTAAACCATCTGAAGAGTTGGCTATGGGTCAGTTCTGATTTTAAAGCACACAACAAGAAGAGTGAAAGAGACACAAGGCAGACATTTCCACTACAAATGAGAGAAATCGGAGAAAAGAAGGGATAACAGGCAGCATGCAAGCTCCAAACCCTGAAGAACTGTTGCATTAGTTCTCAAGACTTGAAACTATTCTCTGTCCTCTGAGAACCTCTGAGTAAAGGCCCTTTTCCACCAGACCCCAGGTGGTGGGCATGCTTTCCAGATTCTGAGAGGAACACCCTTGGTTCTGGGCTTCAGTTTCTCCTTTCAGGCCCACTGGGCAGGCAGCTCTACTCCCTTCACTTTTGACAACCCCTTTCTCTTAGTCCTTCTGAATGACAACTCCATTCCCTTACATATTTTTTTGTTATTTTTTTGTGAGTGTACCATCAAATCAGATCTGACTGGTATAGGAGGAGATTGCCCCTCCTTCTCCAGCACAGCATATGGTGGATTTGAACCACATACCTCTGGGCATGCAGTGCAGCTTCTTGCCACTAGGCCACCAGAGCTCCCTAATCCATTCTCTTATTATGGCAGCCCCACACCCTTGGTTTTGAGCAGCAGCGCATCCTCCTGGGCACCTCACCCTCCTGAACCAACTTGGTAAAGATCCTAGGATCTGACTTTTTCAAACCTAGAAGGCTTAGTTCCACCCTTGGAGATCCAGAAGACCGCAGCCCTAATCTCTGAAACCAAGAAGGTCCTGCTTTCCCTACTCCTTTAACAGTTCTGCTGATCTTTGATCTGTTCCAGGCATGGTCTTCTTCTTTTATTGGAGAACAAATGTAACTCCTACCTGTATAATCCCAAGAGGCACCAGGCAACATATCTTTCTTTATCTTCTTTCTCTGTCTCCTTCAGTCCAAACTGATGGACTTTCCGCTTTGACAGTTCATCATATCCATTAATCACAGGTTTAATTTCTTTGACAAGTGAGCATCCTGGATATTATGAACAGTTAATACATTCAGCTTCTAACTGAAAAGTTGGAAGTTTAGCTCACCTAGAGGCCATCATGGAAGACAGGCTTGGCCATCTATTTCTGAAAACCAATCATTAAGAACCTGTGGAGAAGGGAGCTCTGGTGGCCTAGTGACAAGAAGCTACATTGCAATCCCAAAGACATACAGCTCGAATCCACCAGATGCTCTGTTGGAGAAGGAGGGGCAATCTCCTCCTGTGCCAGTCAGATCCGATTCAATGATACACAACAAAGGGGGAAAAAAGGGAATTCTGGAATTCTCAAAATAAAAAAAAGAACCTATGGAAAATTCATCCTCAGGGCTCTACTGTCAGCCAAACAATGTTGTTGTTGTTGTTGTTGTTGTTGTTGGGTGCCATCGAATCGAGCATGACTCATAGTGACCCTATGAACAAAAGATCTAAACCTTGTTCTATCCTGCACCATCCTCACACTTCCTGACACACAAGAGCCCACTGCAGCAGTCATTTCAACTGACTTCCAATCTGGGATCTACCACTACACTACTATGACTGTCCTCTTTGCTTAGCGTTCATAGGGTTTTCAAAACAGTCTTAAAAGGTGACCAGAGAGCTCTGGTAGCTTAGTGGTAAGGAATTGTCCTGCTAAGTTATGCGGTTCAAATACATCAGCTGTTCCATGGGAGAAAGATGAACAGTCTCCTCCCATGCAATTTACTACCTCTGGAAACCCTCTGGAGGGTCAGCTGTTAGTTGGTTCTCACTCAGTGACACACAACAAAATATTATAAAGTGACTGGTGACATAAGGTCATAGAAGGTGTTACTACTAGTCACTTCACTCCTTGAAATAGCCAACCATTTAAGACCCAAAGAACAGCATTTTCCCCAGAATAAGAGCCAGGAAGGCAGGAAAGGGTAGGACAGAAGGATTCATGAACATGAGGAGTACAGAGAGAAAGGGAGAGAAGTGTGATTACATGGCAGAGACTGTAATTAATGTTATAAATGAATGACAGGATGAAAAACCAATTTGCTTTGTAAACTTTCATTCAAAATATAATTAGAGAAGAAATAAGAAATTTTATCACCAAAGCATTAAATAAGCAGGAATACATATTTTTCCTTAAAATAACTTTAACCAAATTATATTGCTTTCCTTTATTTCTGGTTTGTAGGATACCAAATTAAAAGGGAAAATATCAAAGCTAATAAAAAACATATGTATAATTAGATAAAAACCCTACCTCTATGGAGCATAGGTTTATTCTGACATATGTGGGGCTGCCGTAAGTTGTAATTGTCCCTCCAGCATCTTGATTAGCTAGTTATGTTGCTGTGTGCTTGGTGTGTCAGGAACAATGACAAGGAAAATAAGCACAAGTCTTTGTCCTCATGGAGTTTAAAAGTGGTGGCATAAGGGAGCTCTGGTGGCCTAATGGCAAGAAGCTACACTGCAATCCCAGAGGTGAGCAGTTCGAATCCACCAGATGCTCTGCTGGAGAACGAGGGACAATCTCCTCCTGTACCAGTCAGATCCAATTTGACGGTACACACACAAAATAATAATAATAATAATAATAATAAAATTATTAATAATTATTATCGATAAAAGTTTTTTTTTAAAAAAACGTGGTGGCATGACTGTGTAAACTAACATTTCAGGGAGCTCTAGAGGCCTAATGATCCTAAAGGTATGTGGCTCGAAACCACCAGCTGCTCTGTGGGAGGATGGGCAATCTCCTTTCACACAATTAACTGCCTCTGAAAACCCTCTGGAAAGTCAGCTATGGGTCAGCTCCAACTTCATGGTAAACAACAACAACAACAATATTTCATTATAAATTGTGATAATCCTGAGAAGAGAAAATAATAAGATGTCATGGTACTGGAGAAGAGTATTGAATATACCATGGACTGCTAGAACAAATAAGTACATCCTGGAGAGGGTGAACCCAGGTTGCTTCATGGAGGCAAGAATTCTGAAGCTCTGTCTGACATACTTTGGTCATGTTGCAATGAGGAACCAGTCCTTGGAGAGGAACATCATGTTTGGGAGGTTGGAGGGACAGCAGAAAAGAGGAAGACCCTCTATGTGATGGATTGACTCAGTCTGGGATAATGGGGTTAGGTGTGTCAGAGACAATAAGGTTGGCTCAGGATAGAAGAGGGTTCTGAGCTGTTGTACATAGGGTCACTATAAGTCGCAAACGAACTTTATGGCATATAGCAACGATGAGAGAATAACAGGAGAAGGCCAAGTGTTGACACGGAAAACAGGGAGATTTGACTGAGAAAATGTTAAGCCTTGCAGGTTGAGTAGGAGGTAGGCAAACAGAAGCAGAAACAGTGTTACAGAGAACAGCATTCACAAAGGGTGCTGAGGTGGGTGGTAGAATGGTGTTTTTGAGAAATAAAAAGAGATAATTTCTCTGTAGTGATAGGATTTCTTCTATGTGTCAGGCACTGGGGAGTGCGGGCAGTACTTCTAGCCCACAGGTGCTGCCTCTCTTTAAATCCTCCAGTGGCTCAGAGGGAAAAAGCTGAGTCATCTCCTTCAGTGTGAAAACCAGCTGGAGGGTCAGCTATGAGTTGATTCCAACTCAACAGCAATGAATGAATGGTTGAGGCACATGTAGTAGATCCCCATTTGACAGAAAACAAAAGTGAACGACAGAGAGGTTAATCGTCTTGCCCAAGGCCACTTAACTCAGCCCACCATCATGACCCCCACCCACTCCTCCCTAGACGTGAATATGGAGGCTCCAGATGAGAAGTCCATCATCACCTATGTGGTCTCCTTCTACCACTATTTCTCCAAGATGAAGGCCCTGGCCGTGGAGGGGAAGCGGATTGGGAAGGTAGGAGGAACTAAAGAACTGAGTGGGGAGAGCCTGGGGTCTTACATGGCATGAAACCGTCTGCACCTTGCTTTTGCCTGGTCAGGTCCTGGACCAAGTGCTGGAGGTGGGGAAGATCATTGAGCGCTACGAGGAGCTGGCGGCCGAGCTGCTGGCCTGGATCCACCGCACCGTGGGCCTCATCAGCAACCAGAAGTTTGCCAATTCGTTGAGTGGGGTGCAGCAGCAGCTTCAGGCATTCACAGCCTACTGCACCCTGGAGAAGCCCGTCAAGTGAGGCCTGGTGGCAGAGGAAGGGGGGCGGGGTGAGAAGGGGATGCAGGGCTTCTGAGCTCCTGCCCCTGCAGGTTTCAAGAGAAGGGGAACCTGGAGGTGCTGCTCTTCAGCATTCAGAGCAAGCTCCGTGCCTGCAACCGCCGCCTCTTTGTTCCCCGGGAGGGCTGTGGCATCTGGGATATCGACAAGGTGAGGCTGGGATGTGGGCCTGTACTATGCGGTTATATAGGTTGTACGCTAGTGAACTGTTCATGTTCTAGACATTGTGGACTTGGACCTACCTTCTGACAGTTTTCTGGCAGTAACGTTACACCGGGTGGTGGCATTCCCCCCTCCTCCAATTTGCACAAATGCAGCAGAAGGACCTTGAATAGGGAGTCGTGAAGCTGGGGAAGTTGTTGGAATCTGACTGTGTCTCTTCTAGGCCTGGGGTGAGCTGGAGAAGGCAGAGCATGAGCGGGAGGCTGCTCTCCGGGCAGAGCTGATCCGGCAGGAGAAGCTAGAGTTGCTGGCACAGAGGTTTGACCACAAGGTGGCCATGAGGGAGAGCTGGCTGAATGAGAACCAGCGCCTGGTCTCCCAGGTACAAGGGGTGGAGCTAGGCTGTGGGAGAGAGGGTGTGGCTGATGGTTCTGGAGACTGGAGAGGCAGCCTGGAGACCAGAGAGAGAACCTGAAGACAGCAGGGGGAGTCTGGAGACCAGAGAGAGAGAGCCTGGAGACCAGAAGGGGTGGGCCTGGAGACCAGAGGGGGAGCTTGGAGACCAGAGAGGAAGCCTGGAGATCAGAGAAGGGTCCTGGAGATAGGAAGGGGAGCTTGGACACCAGAGGAGGGGCTTCAGGGAAGGGTTGAATCAGCCTTCTAGATGACAAATGCTGGTGGGAGAGCAGAACTGATTTCCTAAGTGAGAGGAGTGGGCCTGATTTCTAGGGTAACTAAAGAGAGTAGCATTCACCTCTTCAGAAACAGGGGGGATGAGGAGACTCCAAAATTACAAGAGAGGTTGTGTCTGCTATCCACAGTAACTCAGGAAGATGGAACTGGTTTCCTAAGGAACAGAAGAGGGTAGACCTGGTCCTCAGTCTCACTGGAATGGAAAGCAGTGTCACTGGTTTCTGAAGAACAAGTTTGGAGTTAGACACAGTAATCAGGGAAGGGTGGAGCAGGTCTCCAGTCCAAGTCAGGAACAGGGTGATTGAAGAAGGTAGGGCTGGTGTCCTGTGTAGCATAGGCTGGTCTCCAGGTAACAGGGAGTGTGGGACTGGTCTCTAGGGCAACAGAAGAGAGTGGAACTGGTCTCCAAGGTAACATTGGAGAAGGAGGCTAGTCTTCAGAATAACTGAAGATGGTGAGGCTGGTCTCCAGGGCAACAAAAAAGGTGGGGCTGTCTCCATGGTAACAGGAGGAGGGAGCTAGTCTCCAGAGTAACTATGGTTAGATAGGAGGACTGAAGAAGGTGGGTCAGGTATCCATGGTAACATAAGAAGCTGGAGCTGGTATCCAGGGTTACATGGGAGTTAGGGGTGTTTCCAGGGTCACACAAGGTCAAGGTTACAGGTGGACAGCTGAAGCACCATGGGTGAGTCTGTGTGGTGTGCACTGCCCCAGGATAACTTTGGTTACGAACTGCCGGCCGTGGAAGCGGCCATGAAGAAGCATGAAGCAATTGAGGCGGACATCGCAGCCTATGAGGAGCGGGTGCAGGGAGTGGCAGAACTGGCCCAGGCTCTGGCCTCCGAAAGCTACTACGACTCTCGGCGAGTGACTGCCCAGCGTGACAGTGTGCTGCGCCAATGGGCCTTGCTGACTGGGCTGGTGGGTGCACGGCGGACACGACTCGAGCAGAACCTGGCCCTGCAGAAGGTCTTCCAGGAGATGGTGTACATGGTGGACTGGATGGAAGAGATGCAGGTGTGGGGGCCAGACAGTCACCAAGATGGGGGGCACAGACAATGAGTCAGATGTTGTCAGAGAGATGGAGATGGAAAGGGAGAGAGACACAGAAAGGGGACCAAGAGAGAGTGGAGATACAGAGAGAAAGATTGAGACAGAAAGACAGAGAGGTATGAACCAGAGAGAACCTGAGATAGAACAAGACAGATTTAGCCTGAAGGAAATGGTCAGAGTTTGAAGGAGAAAGAGCAGAGAGAGAGCTAGAGTGGCAGAGACAAAGTTAGTAACAGAAATCCACGTAGATAAAGAGAAAGATGCATAAATTGATTTGAAAAAGGGAAAGATATGGAGAAACCCTTAACATCAAGATGGAACCGACTCACAGCTGACCCTCCAAAGGGTTTTCTGGGGCCGTAAATTGCATAGGAGGAGACTGCATATTTTTCTCCCAAGAGGCTGCTGATGGATTCAAACTGCCAGAGGTGCCACCTTTGTGGAGGTGTACAAGGAGGTGTACAGGGAGAGGTGTACAACTCCCTGTGGTATGCATCACCAGAGCTCCCTCGGATACAGATAAAGGGGGAGGAGAGGGAGGAGAGATACAGATAGGGAGGTGAAGAGAAAGAGTGATAAAGAGGAAGAAAGATGGAGACAAGAAAGAGACAGAACTAGGAAGAGCTGGAGGCATCAGTAGACTAGCCTGAGAGGCGAGTCTGGACAATGAGGGAGGCGGGATGTGGCCTGGGGGTCAAGCCCAGGAGTGAGTTGTGTGTCCCACTCCCCCATCACAGGGTCAGCTTTTATCCCGGGAGTGTGGGCAGCACCTGGTAGAGGCGGAGGACCTGCTGCAGAAGCATGGGCTGCTGGAGGGGGACATTGCAGCGCAGAGCGAGCGGGTGGAGGCGCTCAACGCTGCTGCCCTACGCTTCTCCCAGCTGCAAGGTGAGTAGGAGAAGGAGGTGGTGGGTTCCAGGGTTGGTGCTAATAGAGGCAGAGTGGACTCCTGTGGGACAGAAGGGAGGAATGAATGGGTTCCTCATCTTTAGGGACATACAAGCAGACCACAGCATCATACTTTACCAGGAATATTAGTATTTTGAGTGGGAGGTTGGACCATGTGACTTCTTTCTGCTTTGAGATTTTGCAATAATTGCCTTTCTCAGCCTCAACTCAGTAAATAACATCAAACACACACATGCTAGCCTGTGTTTGATAATGTATAGTCAGAATCTATTCAGTAATGAAAATGCAAGATAAAAGACTCAAAGCGAAAATGGAAATGTCTTGGTGGTGGTAGGTGCCATCAAGTTGAATACACCTTGTAGCAACTCTGTGGACAAACCCTAACCCTAATCTTCCTCTCTCCTGTGCCATCTTCACAATCTTTACCATGCTCAAGTCCATGGTTACAGTCACTGTGTCAGTCCATCTCACTTCCACTTCAGAATCTTCCTCTTTTGCTCTTTGATTTTCTACTTTTCTCAGCAGATGTCTTTTTAAAAGATATGTGCATAAAGTATGATGGCATTTCTCCGTTTTTGCCTCTAAGGAACAAAAAGGTAAAAGAGTGTAGGTCTGGCTCCATGGACAGTTCTGTGAGTCCATTAAGACTTCATCTCTTTTTGTCCCTGTTCTCCTTGCTAGTGCCACTGTCTGAGTCCTCCTTGTGAAATAGACGTGGGATCATTCAGACCATAGTATTACCCAGCAGCTTAGGAGGCCCAGTAGAAGATAAAATCGTCTTTCCTACTGTTTCTCATGGAATCCTTTGTTGCTGAGTCCATCCCGCTCATGGGGGTCATATAAGACAGAATAACCATGCAGCACAGTCCATAGTTCCCAAAGATGAAATCTTTGTGGCAGCATACTGCCATATCTTCTGTAGAGCAGCTGGTGGGTTTCAACTGTTGACCTTTTGGTCAGCAGCCAAACATGTAGCCACTATGTCATCAGGGTTCCTGTTCAGCAAAAGACCCAAGGAAAGCCACAGGAGTTCCATCCCCATTGCTCAGCCAATCACAGTAGCCCCAGCGTGGACAGGGATCTAATTGGCCATCTCTGTCATATCAGCATCCCAGGCCAAGAGTTGGGTACTTAAAAAGAAAAGGTTCATTCTCCAAGGGTTAAAGGCAGAAACAGAAGCACAAATGCTAATGGGTAAAACCAAGACTGACTCTAATAGAATTTCACTTTCTACTCGTTTATCAGTATCCAAAGGTTGTTGTTTGTTGTTGTTGTTATATACCACCCAGTCACTTGCGACTCTTAGTGACCCTATGTATAACAGCCCTAAACCCTGCTCTATCCTGTGCCAATCGCACTGTCTCTGACACACCCACCCCATTACCCCAGTCACTGAATCAATCCGTCTCATAGAGGGTCTTCCTCTTTTCTGCTGTCCCTCCACAATCCCAAACATGATGACCCTCTCCAAGGACCTGTCCCTCCTTACATGTCCTAAGTATGTCAGACAAAGCCCCAGAATCCTTGCCTCCAAGGAGCAGTCTGGTTTAACCCTCTCCAGGTTAGCGTAACAAATTATTACCAGTAACTGAGTGGCTTAAAACAGGAGCTCATTGCCTCACGGTTTTGGAGACTTCTTGTTGTTGTGTACCTTCATGTCGGAACCAACCCCTAGCTGACCCTCCGGCGGGTTTTCAGAGGGGCAATTAACTGCACGGGAAGAGATTGCCCATCCTTCTCTATCCTTCTCTCGCGGAGCAGCTGATGGCCTCAAACTCACGCCTTTTTGCAGAGCAGCTTCTTGCCACTAAGCCATCAGAGCTCTTGGAAGGGCAAAATGCAAGAATCAGTAGATACAAAGAGCTTAGGGCCAAGGCAGGGGAGACACCAGAAGTGCTTCCCTCACTCATTCTTGGGGAGTCAGGGAAGACTACCTGGAGGAGGAGAGTTGGTGAGGTCAAGCCAAAGGCAAGTAGCCCGCACCACCCTTTCTTGGTCTACGCACAACTTCAGATTTGCCCTGTCTTTTGGCCTAGGCTACCAGCCCTGCGACCCTCAGGTCATCTGCAACCGAGTGAACCACGTTCACGGCTGTCTGGCGGAGCTGCAGGAACAGGCAGCGCGGCGGCGAACGGAGCTGGAGGCGTCGAGGAGCCTGTGGGCGCTGCTGCAGGAGCTGGAGGAGGCCGAGAGTTGGGCACGCGACAAAGAGCGCCTCCTAGAGGCCGCCAGTGGTGGCGGCGGGGCTGGCACCGGAGGCGCGGCGGGCGCTGCTGGCAATGCAGGCGGCGCGCACGACCTGCCCAGCACTGCTCGCCTGCTGGCGCAGCACAAGATCCTGCAGGGCGAGCTGGGCGGGCGGCGGACGCTCCTGCAGCAGGCGCTGCGGTGTGGCGAGGAGCTGGTTGCCGCCGGCGGCGCCATCGGTCCGAGCCCGGACACGGTGCTCCTGGCTGGCCTGGCGGAGCGCGCGGCGAGCGCACGGCGTCGTTGGCAGCGGCTGGAGGAGGCGACGGCGCGGCGGGAGCGGCGGCTGCAGGAGGCGCTGGCGCTGCACCAGTTCGGCGCGGACCTCGACGGGCTCTTGGACTGGCTTCGCGACGCCTACCGCTTGGCGGTGGCTGGGGACTTCGGTCACGACGAAGCGTCCAGCCGCCGCTTGGCGCGCCAGCACCGCGCGCTCACCGGGGAGGTGGAGGCGCACCGCGGGTCGGTGGGCGGTCTACGGCGCCAGCTGGCAACGCTGGGGGGCGCCAGTGGCGCAGGGTCTCTGGTGGTGGCGCTGCAGGTGCGCGTGGTAGAGGCAGAGCAGTTGTTCGCTGAAGTGACGGAAGTGGCAGCGCTGCGACGCCAGTGGCTGCGCGATGCGCTCGCGGTCTACCGCATGTTTGGCGAGGTGCACGCGTGTGAGCTGTGGATCGGCGAGAAGGAACAGTGGCTGCTTGCCATGCGCGTGCCAGACTCCCTTGACGACGTTGAGGTGGTTCAGCATCGGTGAGCGCCATGCGGGACAGAGGGCAGGACTCCTGAGTCCTCTTCCTCTCTCACCGTGTCTCACCTACATTGGTTCAACAGTTGCCTTGTTCCTTGGCTGAAATCAGTGGTTCCAATCCCCGCTTCATCCTAAACCAGACTTGTGACTTAGCACCCAAAACTTGACAGACATATCTGAATTTTAGTCTGTAAAATGGGAACAAAATGAACCCCAGCTTCACACACTTGTGAATAGTAAATATATTAACCTGTGCAGACAATTGAACACATCAGGGGGCATTTCTTGAGCTTTTGCTTTTATTACCACCAGGCTTTCATCGTCCCCTGGCACAAATTAGTGACCTGAGCTCCTTCACTGAAATACTCATTCCCATCCTTCCCCAGGGACTCCCTAGTCCCCTGCACAAATTTAATCTAATACTAAATGCCTGCTGACTGAATAAGCGACTCTCATAGGTCACATCTCCCAAGCTAATTAAATAGCTCCCACACTTACCACTTTCTCTCCACTTATTCTTTACCTCCCCACGAGTTACCATTCACAGTTGTCCCTTGTCATCAGCAGAGTTCCAGGACCTTTGTGGACATCAAAATCCTCCAATGCTCAATATATGAGTATAAAGTGGCGTGAATATTTACATGTAACTTGTGCAAATCCTCTCCCACCCTTTAAATCACCTCTGGATTGTTTAGGGCTTGGAAAAGTAGAGGGCCAGCAAAAGAGAGGAAGGTCCTCAACAGATGGATTGGCAGCAATGAACTTGAGCATGGTAGAGAGAATGAGGATGTCACAGGATAGGGACAACGTTCAGATCTGTTGTTAACAGGGTCATTGAGTCATAGTCAAGGGCACTTACAACCACCACGGGTTATCATAGATATAAATAGCACAGTATTCTCCGAGGACACTCTGGTGGTATAGTCTGTAGAGAGCTGCACTGCAAACTCAAAAGCAGCTCCTCTCCAGCAGGTAAAATCCACCAGCAGCTCTTTGGGAGAAAGACAGGCAATTTTCTCCCATGTGAGCTCCTGAAAACCCAGTGGAGGGTCAGCTATGAGTCAGTTCTCACTTGATGGTGATAAGTTTTGGGTGGATTTTTTTTTTGAGGGCTTGTTTTGACCACTTAATTACTCCCCCCCACCCTTGAATATCCATGGTTGGTAGAATCTGTGGGCAGTCCTGTACTTGTTTGTTTACTGGCTTTGTTAGTAAATTGTTTGGCAGGATCATGTCTTTCTCCCTCTGCACGTCTCTTTATGAGTATCTTACCCATCATCCATTTCAGCAGCTATTTCTTGACTTCTTAGGGTCCAAGCTTCTGAGCGTCTCCATCCTCCTGCAGGTTCGAGAGCCTGGACCAAGAGATGAACAGTTTGATGGGGCGTGTCCTGGACGTGAATCACACAGTGCAGAAGTTGGTGGAAGGAGGTCACCCCAGCTCAGATGAGGTGCGCTCCTGCCAGGACCACCTCAATAGCAGGTAGGTGGGGCCTGATGCTTGAAGTCCTTCCTGATACCTGACATCATTCTTCTCTTCCTCAGTTACTTAACTGTGGAAATCAAAGATGCACCATCTCAAACCCTTGAGGTTATAGCAGCCATCTATACATCATCAAGGAGCTCTGGTGGCTTAGTGGTAAGGAATTGCATGGTTTGAATTCACCAGCTATGCAAGGGAGAAAGATGTCCAACTTACAGCCTCTGAAAATCTGCTGGAGGGTCAGCTATGAGCTTGTTCTGACTGTGGCACATAACGATAGGAAAAACTTGGGGGAAATGGTAATACCCAATACTAGCGTGATGTGGTACTGACAGAATTCAGTGCATTTCTGTTGTTCCTTCATTTATTTGTTTATAAACTATTTAGCATCTACCAGGAGTTATCTCCAAGTATTCTATGTACATACTTTGTCTCCCTAACTTTATTTCCATAGACTTGGAAATCTATGGATTTCTAGAGTTCAGAACTCACCAAGAATGTCATCGCTGTTGATAGGTGCTGTGCAGTCATCTCAGACTCACAGTGGGCCCTGTGCTGTGCCATCGTCACAATCACTGCTGTTTGACACAGTTGTCACCACAATGGACTGGAGCACATCATGGGGATGGTGCAGGACAGGGCGAGGTTCAGATCTGTTGTTCATAGAGTCATTATTAATCATCATCAGCTTGATGGCACCTAACAACAATAACATGTGCCAACAATAACACATGGCTTTAGCCACATAACCTCCTTAAATACTTAAATTCATTCCATGAAAAACAAACACAAACAAACAAACCAAAAACCTCATTTCATCAGCTGGACATTATCATCATCATCATCATCATAATCATCTGCACTTTCCAGACAAGGGAAATGATTTGCTAAAAATCACATGGCTATTGCATGGCCAGAGCAGAACCCAAACATGGATTTTTCCAATCTCTGCCTTTGGGATGTTCCACAGGAGCAGAGGGGAGCTCTGGTGATGCAGTCTGGCATGTTGAACCACTCACCCAAAGGCCATGGTTTGAATCCATGCAGTGGGTATTCTCCTCCCATCAAGATTTACAGCCTCAGAAACCCAGTGGAAGGTCAGAAACCCAGTGAGTCAGAACCAGCTCAACAACAGGGAGTGGGTAGGAGAAGCAGAGAGCCAGTTAGTAAATAAACGAAGAAAGAAGCTCTTTAGAGGAATTGGGGAGGAAATAGGGTCGGATGGCCCCAGTAGAGCAAATCAGGGTTGGTCAGAAGGTTACAATTTAACATGGGCCCTCAAAGGATGAGAAGGCTTTTCCACAGGAGTATGTGTGAAGAGAGAGGACAGAACCTTCCAGAGAGAGGCCAGAGCTGGGACCAAGGCCCACAGTAGGAAAGGACTTGGCAGGTCCCAAAGATTGTCCCCACTCAATCACAGTAGCAAACAGGCACTATCTGAAACACTTCATATATGAGGTAGGCGCTATGATTGAGCCTATTTTCCTGACAGGGAAATCAAGGCACAGTGAAGGTCACTTGCCAGAGGTCAAACAGTAAAGAGGAAGGGCTGGAATTTTACTTCAGGCAATCCAGTTCCAAGTCTGTGCTGGTAACTTTGACCACACACTGCCTGAAAAAGAGCTGTGTCAAGGGCAAGGGCTGTCACTCCCCTGTGACACAGGTGATACGTCATTTTGAGGTTAATTTCATTTGAGATAGAGCAAGCATACCCTTGTGTCACTATATTCTCAGCACTTAGCTCCTAGTTGTTGTTATGTGCCATCGAGTTGCCTGGGATTCATAGAGACCCCGTGTACAACAGCCCTATACCCTGCGTCTATCCTGTGTCAATCTTATTGTCTCCAACACAGCTACCCCCATTACCCCAGTCACTGAATCAATCCGTCTCATCGAGGATCTTCACCTCTTGTGCTGACCCTCCACCGTCCCAAGCATGACGTCCCTCTCCAAGGACAGCTCCTAGCAAATGTTCAACTAATGGTTGTTGGACCTAACATGTTAATGTTATGCGATGATAAAAGCAATGATTTTCAAACCTTTTTGTACTCTTAAAAACTATCAAAAAACCTCAAAGAGATTTCGTTTATCTGGGTTGTGATAGTCGTTATGTGCCATCAACTTTGAACCTACTCATAGCTGACCCTCCAGTGGGGTTTCAGAGGCTGTAAATCTCCAAGTGGGTGATTTCATATCTTTCCCCTAAAGAGCGGCTGGTGGATTCAAACCACCTGCCTTTGAGTTGGCAACAGAGTATTCTTTTTAAATGCTTAATAAATCGTTTAAAATAAAACTAAGAAATCTGTTTAAAAATGGAGGGGAAGCTGTCCTCCAAAACAAACACTGTAAAGTAAGAGGGCCACAGTTTCGCATATTTTACAAATCTTTTAACTGTCTGGCTTAAGAGAAGGCAGCTGGATTGTCTCATAGGCTTCTGTATCAGATTGTTTTGGTATCTCTGAAATCTGTGAAATCATTTGGTTATGTGAGGCTTACACTTTGAGAAGTGCTGCTCTGAGAAAGTAAGCCCGATAGAGTTCCTTTATACAGGGTTAGAAATTGGAGTTTGAGGTAAAGTGACTATCCAAGGTCACAGAGGGCTTGGATTGGGCCCTGGGTCTCCCTGCTATTCGCGCCAAGTAGGTGCTCCTTCGCCCCCCCCCCCCCATTCTTCTCCTTTTCTTGGATAGGTGGAACCGCATCGTGGAACTGGTCGAACAGCGCAAAGAAGAGGTGAGCGCGGTGCTGCTGGTGGAGAACCACGTGCTGGAGGTGGCTGAGGTGCGCGCCCAGGTGCGCGAGAAGCGGCGGGCGGTGGAGAGCGCGCCCCGTGCGGGTGGCGCCCTACAGTGGCGCCTTAGCGGCCTGGAGGCAGCTCTGCAGGCACTGGAGCCCCGCCAGGCGGCTCTCCTGGAGGAGGCGGCTCTTCTGGCCGCGCGCTTTCCCGCTCAGGAGGCAAGGCTGCGCAAGGGCGCAGAAGAGCTGGGCACCGAGTGGGGCGCGCTGGCAAGTGCGGCACAGGCTTGCGGAGAGGCAGTGGCGGCGGCCAGCCGCCTCCAACGTTTCCTGCACGACCTGGACGCGTTCCTGGACTGGCTGGTGCGCGCCCAGGAGGCAGCGGGAGGCAGCGAGGGGCCCCTGCCAGGCAGTCTGGAGGAGGCGGATGCGCTGTTGACGCGCCACGCCGCACTCAAGGAAGAGATGGACCAGCGTGAAGAGGACTATGCGCGCATCGTGGCGGCCAGCGAGGCACTGCTGGCTTCGGACGGTGCCGAACTGGGCCCAGGCCTGGCCCTCGACGAGTGGCTACCACACCTGGAGCTCGGCTGGCACAAACTGCTGGGCCTGTGGGAGGCTCGCAGGGAGGCCCTGGTCCAGGCTCACGTCTACCAGCTCTTCCTGCGCGATTTGCGCCAGGCACTCGCTGTTCTTCGCAACCAGGTGCCAGCTACATGTTGCATGGGAGCTTGGAAGTGCAGGAAGAGGCCAGGGGACGAGTGGGAAATTGTTAAGGCAGTGAAACCGTTGGTTAGGGGGGGAAAGTTGGTGGTGCTGGTGGTACCACTGGGTTTGTGACTTATGGTGACTGGACAGGTGATTTGGGTAGCTGGGTCATTCATTGAGCATGTGTGTGTAACAGTTTTAAGATTATAATGGGGTTGGCTAGAATCTTATCTGGGTCCTGTGCCTATTCTGAGTGAGGAGAAGCTTGATATTTATTAGAGTGCCGTACTGAATTTGTGAGTTATACAGATCTGCAGAGTGTCCGGAAAGAAATGGGCCTGAGAAGCTCTTGGGATGAATAACAGAGAGTGTCATGAGGGGCACTGATCAAGTCAAAACCCACCCCACCTCACTGTCTTCCATTTGATTTCATTCACTTCCAACCCACTGACCCTCCAGCATGCCTCACAGCCTGTAAGTTTTAACAGGAGCAGATGACCTCATTGACTCCAGAGCCTTTCCTTTAGTAGCCCAGCACATAACCCACTAGGCCCCCAGCATGCTATGAAACATTTCCTCATGACCGAGGGAGAGCAATTACTAAAGGCACAGTGAGTGATGGCAAACTAGGTAGTGGGAGGTCGAATATGCAAATCCTCTTCATCATGGGGACTGTCAGTTTGCATGTTTTCTGGAGAGCATATGTGGCTTGAGATACCGCATGTGCTGGTGGTCTGGGGGCCAGTGATCGATCCATCCTGGAGGTCCTTTGGGAATGGGACTCTCCTTTGAGGATTTGAGCAAATGAGAGCTCCAGTTTTCAGATTATCTGAGCACAGATACTGACGTTTGGAGATCAGGTATGTAAGGGAAGCTGAGGCAGCTGGACTATTTGGGTAGATGGGGAACCCCTGGAATCATGAGGCTACTCAATATCAGAGCTGAAGGGGCCTTGAGAGCCCCTTTATTAGTTAGAAAACCAATCCCAGAGAGAGAACTTCCAGAAGTTCATACAACACACCTAGTTTGGTCTTGAATCAATTAATCAAACATTTCTCGAGTGGCTTCCTTTGTGCTTCAAAATCAAACATGAAATCCTACCCTCATGTATTGTGGGTGTGAGTGTGGGTGTGGTGGGAGAGAATTGTAATTAAAGAATAAATGTATATTATGTCAGGAGTATGTTAGGAAGGATAATGAAGCAGGATCAAGAGATACGACAGGAGTGGGGTGGTTTTGGCTGGGTGGTCAGGAAAGGTCTCTGAGGAGGCATTTGAGCTGAAACTCTGCAGGAAATTAAGGGACCAGCTATAGGATGGACTGCAAGGCAGAGGGACCAGCATGGGCAAAGGCCCTGAGGTAGGACGAGCTGGAACACAGTGGGTGGAGTGGTGGCAGTCCGGCAGGTCCTAGAATGGAGAGGGACTGACCTGTGCACCCTCTCCCTTCCCAGGAGATGGCGCTGTCGGGCCCCGAGCTCCCGGGCACCGTGGAGTCGGTGGAGGAGGCGGTGAAAAGGCACCGGGATTTTCTCACCACAATGGAGCTGAACCAGCAAAAGATGCAGGTGGCGGTGCAGGCTGCCGAGGGCCTGCTAAGGCAGGGCAACGTCTACGGAGAACAGGCCCAGGAGGCTGTGGTGCGGCTGCTGGAGAAGTAGGCCCCTCACACCCTAGGAAGCAGGGGGCGGGTTTCGGGGGCGCGCGCAGAGACTAGGCGTCAGGCTCAGATGAGAGAGACCAGATGCGACTCCCCACGCTACCACTTTGCCTGCTTCTCTGCCCCTCTTTGGTTTCTCAATTCCATGTTTTAGATTCAACTTCGGTTCTGTGAAAGGGTAGCTCAGTTGTAACGTCAAAAGGCACAGAGGGGATACACAGTGAAAAGTTTCTCTCCCACTCTGACTGGCTGCGTGGGAAAGGTGGATGGGTTGTTAGAAAGCTAAAATGTGCCCTTACCCAGCCTCAGCCCTGCCGCTCCAGCCCCTTCCCAGGACACCCCTCCTCTAAAGACCCAAGTTCCGCCCCAGTCACCAGCTCCCCTGTAGAAAGCTCTGTGTCTTCAGTGTTTCCTTCGTGCTTTATGGGTGGGTTTCTGCTTCCTCACCATCTGTCCCTCCCTCCGCCTCGTCTGTGAAAGCAGGAACCAAGCACAGATATGTACTGAACGCTGCCTTGTGCCAGACACGTCCAGCCCCTCAACAAGCAGACGACCGCCACCCTCCAAAGAATTCCAGCCTTCCTGGAGCGCATTTACTGGGATCTCTTCCAGTCCCTGTCACTGTCATGTCTCGCTCCCTCCTGGTGATCCAGCTCCCTCCTCTCCCTAGCTCTCTCTGGAATAATCCACACTGGAAGAGAACACCACAGTGACTTCTAGTCACTGCACCACCACCCCCCAGCCTGGAGGCCCCACCCCTCTTCCTGCCTGAGGCTCCAGGAAGGCGAGATTAAGGCATGTCAGGCCCTGTTGTTGTTGTTAGGTGCCACCAAGTCAATTCCAACTCATAGGGACACTTATGTACAACAGACTGAAAGCTGGCTCTATCCTGTGTAGTCCTCATAATCTCCGCAATGCTTACGCCCATTGTGCCATCACTGGGTCAATCCATCTCTTTGAGGGTCTTCCTCTCTTTCCCTGAAGTTCTACTTTTCCAAGCAGGATGCCCTTCTCCAGGGATTGGCTCTTCCTTATAACATATTTAAAGCTTGTGAGGCAAAGTCTCACAGTCCTTGCCTCTAAGGAGTACGCTGACTATACTTTCTCCAAGACAGACTTGTTTTTTCTTCTGGCAGCCTGTTGTTGTTGTTGTTGTTGTTGTTGTTGTTGTTGTTGTTGTTAGGTGCCATGGAGCCGAGTACGACTCATAGCAACCCTATGAACAGACCTGAAATCTGTCCTCCCCTGCACTATCCCACAAACATTTGAGCCCGTAACTGCAGTCACTGTATCAATCCATCTCACTGAGGGTCTTCCACTCCTTTGCCATCCCTCCACCTTTCCAAGCATGATGTCCTTTTCCAAGGAACAGCCTCTCTTAACAACGTACTCAAAATATCCATCCTCGCTTTTAAGGAGCACTCTGGCTACACTCTCTCCAAGACATATCTGTTTGTTCTTTTGATAGCCCCTGGGTTCTTCAGCACCCTTCAACACCACAGTTCAAAGGCATCTATTCTTCTGTCGTCTATTCATTTTCCAGTTTTCAGAGGCATAGTAGGTGATTGGAAAGACGATGGCCTGAATCAGGTGCACCTTAATCTTCAAACTGACATTATTGCCCTTCAGGACTTTCAAGATCTCTGACAACAAACTTTCTGAATGTAATGTCTCTTAATCTCCTGACTGCTGGTATGAAGGGATTGTGGATACAAGTAAGAAGAAATTGTTGACAATTTCAGTCTTTTCTCCACCTATCATGGTATTGTCTACTGGCATGTTTAATATTCTGTGCCAACACCACAACTCAAAGGCACCGATTCTTCATTCTTCCTTGTTCACTGTCAACTTCTGCATTCACATGCAGCAACCGAAAGTACAATGGGTTTGAGTCAAGTATATTTTCATCTTTAAACAGATATTCTTACTCTTTAGCACTTTCAAGAGATGCTGTGCAACAGATTTACCCAATGCACTAATATATAGTGCTTCCTCTTCTACTGACTCACACATTCAAATGGGATATGTGGTTAATATACACACACACATGCGTGCTATACAAAGCCATTCTCTCAAAATGTACAAGCATAATGTCTTTTGCTTGTGTTGGATCTAGTTGCATATTGGATGAATGTGACAAGAGCTAGACTGGACAACATACCTCCACCTCTTGTTTATTACTAGAAAGAAAGAATACTTTTTAGAGACTATTATATCACAGGGATTTTCGATTATGCTGGCGGGGACCTACTCTAGAAGACAGAGATCAGTGTAGGTGTTGGAATGGTGGTGGCCTCAAAGCTTTAACCACCACCTGGCATGTGGCCACCTTCTCAAACCCAGAACTTAATTTTCACTCATCGCCTTCCCACACACACTTCACTTAGTGCCCTTCCTTCCACCGCAGCACTTGTTTCTCCATGTAGTCTGTCTACATGGCAGCTAGTGTACCTGTTTTCTTGGTGCCCTAGCTCATGTCTACCTTGGTTATTGGGTATCTATCCCTGAGCACAGGTATCTTTTCCTCTTTTCCTCCTAATTTCACCTTGGTTAAGACTAGAAGCTTCTATAGAAAACGTGAATGGGGATTCTGATGCTCAGCATACAAAGTGATCGCCTACTGCCTCCAGATGCAACCTGGACCTGCCCTTCCTTTGCCTGTATTTCTTGAGCACCTACTACATGCCAGAAGAGGAACGAGGAAGAGCCCAGAGGACTGTTCATTCCATAATTCATGATGTCATTCCATTTTACAGTCATTCATTATTTTCTTTCATTTTATCATTCATTATTTTTCTTTTCTTTTTTTTTTTATTATTTGGTGTACCATTGAATTGGATCCAACTGGTACAGGAGGAGATTGCCCCTCCTTCTCCAGTGGAGCATCTGGTGTATTTGAACCTCCCGCCTTCGGGATTGCAGTGCAGCTTCTTGCCACTAGGCCACCAGAACTCCTCATTCATTTTTTAGTAAATTAAATAATATATAGCCTGTGCTCTGTACCCTATGTAGACAATGTTGGGCACACACCAGTGACCAAGACAGGCTACAACAGCTGCCTTCTCAGATATCTTACTTTATCTGAGAGGGCTGGCCCAGATGGTCAAGGCTGGAATGGAGGAGGTGTGGGTTCAGGGGTCAGGACTGAGATGAGGAAAGTCAGTGGGAATTTTCTCTGTGGGAGCCTAGAGGAGTATCTGCCCCAGACTTACACTGGGAAAGATGGGGACACATTGAGGATTGGAACAGATCTGATCTCTGTTCTCCACCCAGCTGCTCATTGTATTTCCTTGTCTGCTGTTAATCGCCATCCATTCCATTCTGACTCATGTGCACAGGGCAGAATTTCCTCATAGGGTTTTCAAGGCTGTGTCCTCTTTGAAGGTGGATTTGAAATGCCAATCTTTTAAACAATGAGCACTTAACTTTGCATCACGAAGGGATTCAATTTGCTGGTCTGGTTTTGCTATGTGCCATGGAGCTGGAATTCACTCATAGCTGAACCCCCAGTGGGTTTTCAGAGGCTATAAAGCCCATGGGATGAGATTGTTCATCTTTCTCTCACAGAACAGCTGGTGAATTCAAACTGGTTGCCATTAGGTTAGTGTAACTCCTTACCCACCAGGCCATGAGCGCTCCCCTTTTACTTGTCTAGGAACATACATGACATTCTTTATCACTCTGGGGAGGGATTTCCACACCTAAACCAAAATCCCACTGCCCTAATCATCAAATCACAGCTCACAGGGAGCCTGTAGGACAGAGTAAAACTGCTTCATGGGGTTTCCAAAGCTGTAAATATATTTTATTAACTTTTTATTGTGAATCAGGTTAAGGTTTACAAAGCAGATCAGTTTTCCAATCAAGGAAATAGATGTAACTTTGGGGCAAAAGCTTACAGAGCATATTCATTTGCCATTCAACAATTCCTATACGTTTTGTTGTTAAATTGATTGCAGTCCCCACACTGTAGCATTGTTCATCCTACCTTCTCCTTGTGTTTCCTGAATGAAGGCTGTAAATCTTTATGTAAGCAGATCATCACCTCATTCTCCTTTGGGGATGGCTGGGGGTTTGGAACCACTGACTTGTGGTTCATAGCTGAGCAATTAACCACCATATCACAGGGTTCAGTTTCCACACCCAAAAGGGACAGAAATAAGAGTGAGAAACTGTGACCCTGGTATCCGACAGACTCAGGTCCACCCCTCCACCTGCGAGGTGTGGGGGAGTCATTTAGTCTCTCTCTGCCTCATCTGGACAGATCCTAACCCACCTTTATGTGTGAGGTACTACTGGTCTTATTTTATTCAGAGAGGGAATAGACTTACCCAAGGTCACAGCCAGGGAAGTGGCAGAGCCAGGATTTAAGCTGCTGTTTTCTCTCTCTTACATCCTAGAGGAATGCCCCTTAGCCCTGGGACTGATTAATGCCTGACAGTGTACCTGGGGAGGTTCTCAAAGGATCAATTTCCATTTCAGAAGCATTTTCTGGCTCTAGGGCTGTGGCTGCCCTCCAGGGCTGGAGGGATGGTGGGGAGAGTCTACAGGGAGACTGTTTGTCTCTGGCACTTAAAGTTCTTTCTCTCTTGAGTTCCCCCTCTGTTTTCATGTTGCTTTCTCTTACTCTCTTTGCCTTCATATGTCTGTCTCATTTTCTCTGTTTCTTCACTTCCTTTTCTCTGTCTGTTTTTTCCTTCCTCTATCTCCACCTTTCTGCTCTTTCTTTCTCCCAGCTGTTTCTGCCCTTCCCTCCCACTGCCTCTTTCTCTTATTCAGGCACCTTTTTTGTTGTTGTTTTGGTTTGTTTGTTTGTTTGTTTTCAGGCACCTTTTTAAAACCTTTTATTGTGATTTGAGTGAAGGTTTACAGAGCTAGTTGGCTTTCCATTCAACAGTTCATATACACTGTGCACATGATATTGACCATCCTCACACCATAACAGATTCTTCCCACTTCCTCCCTCTATTTCTTTCATCCTTTTCTGTCCTTTCCTTTCCTTCTTTCATTTTCTTAATTCCTTTTGAAATCTGCATTTCTCTTGAGTTCAATGACTCGTTCATGTAATGTGAGTACTGAATGTCTACTACGAGCAATAGGGATACAGCTGTGAAGAAAACAGACAAAATTTCCTGCCTTCATAGTGCAAGAGATAGTGCTAAGTCCTAAGAAAATGGAAAGAAAAAAGAGCCAGAAAGTATTGGAGAGAGGGGTCAGGTGGGGCTTGGCTGAAAAGGTGACATTTCAGTAAGGATCTGAAGGCTGCTAGAGGACATGGCCTGGGAGCACATTTCCAGGGGGAAGAGCATTGAGGTCACAAGGAAGAGCTGGTACAAAGGCCCTGTGGTGGGAATGGAGAGTTTGAGAACCCCAAGCAGGCCAGTGTGCAGTCAGAGGGAGAAGTAAGAAAGGAGAGGGGTTTGGAAAAGTTAGGCCAGAGATATGTCTTAGAAAGAGTTGGAAGGTCTTAGAAGCATTCTTAGGGGCTGGGGGACCTTGAGATGATAATCTTTTTATGTCTTCTCTGTCTCCCAGGGATAGATATGTGTGAGCTGGAGTGGGTACTATCCAATAGACCTGCCTGTGGCTTTTCTGGCCAGCTGAGGGTAGGGGTTGGGGTGGGCTGGGTCTAGCCTGGTCAGCCCAACTTCTGTCCACCCACCTGAGAACCCCCCCCCCTCAGCCCTCCCGAGACTCTAGTAGTTTAGTAGTTCCATCTGTCCCCACACCCTGGTCTCTTCCCTCTCTCCAGCTCTCTGGCAAGGTGCTTCCTCCCCATCTGCCAGAGCTGTGTTTTGCCCACTTTTCTGCCTGTCCTTCCCTGGGTTGGCCCTGCATCCCACTTCCTCTGCCTCTTCCCCTTGCTGTTCTCTCTCCGTCCTTACCCCTGTTCCATGTCTCACCTTCTGCCTTTTATTCTTTCCCCTGACTGTCTCTCTTCCTTTCTTTTTATTACTCCACACAGGGCCTCTGTCTCTGTCTGTCTGTCTGTCTGTCTCTGTTTTGCTACTGCCTCTTTCTTTCTCTTTGGGTCTCTGTCATTCACTCTGTGCCTGTTTGTGTGTCCCCATCTCTGTCTCTAGGTGTGGGTCTCTCTCTCTCTCCCCACCCCCAGCCTGTGTAAATGCTATTGATGACTTTTTCTCTCTGGGCCAATGTATCTCCAAATCTCTCTCTGACCTATGCTTCTCTCTGCCTTTTGTTCCTGGTTCTGCCCCTACTAGACTGCCTTTCTCCCACCTCTTACGCTGTCTCTAATGGTTGTTATAGATTCTCTCACTGCCCAGCCATCAACGCTCTCTGTCATGGTCTTCTGCTCAGCCCCTCTCTCCTCATTCTTAGGAGCCAAGAAAACCAGCTGCGGGCTCAGCAGTGGATGCAGAAGCTACACGATCAACTTGTGCTGCAGCACTTCCTCCGGGACTGCCACGAGGTAGGACTTCAGCTGTGCAGGGCCCAGTGAAGACCCCCTTTCCTAGAGAGAGAATTTGGATCTGATGAGCGGTGGGGGCGGGGACGCCCCGTCTAAGTGGGTCGTGAAGCAATATTTCCTCTTCACCGCTAGGAGGCGCGCCAAGCCCTGTCTCAGTGCGCATGTTCTGCAGCTCCCTCCGCCCACACGGGCTAGGGAAGGAGGGTGGAGCCTCTGGCGCCCCTGGCAACGAGGCGCGTGTCCGTGCTTACAGGTCCCACGGGGACGCGCGCTGATCTCACCTATCTCTCTGGAGGTTTGTGAGATGAACCCTGCTGGGGGAGGGAGGAATATGGCAAGCAGGGACAGACCAGTGGCCCTGCGCGCATCATCTGTCTGGGACGGTCCTGAACCGAGTTTCTGTCCCTTGAAAAATTTCCAGGCATCAAGATGATCCTGCAAATCAGAGACAGTTTGGACCGCCTTTCCCCTTTCAGGGACGGCTTCAGAGGCAGGCTGTCATCTCACTTTCTCGTCACTCCATCAGAAATTGTTTGAGACTTTAGCCAGTAGACATGGCCCCAGTAAACATTTTTCTAACCCCCAAAGCTGTTCTCTATCGCTAGCTCCTCCATCTGTATCTCACAGAATCAGCTCCTTCATCCCTTCATGAGGACCTGTTTGCCCCAACCAAGGTGGTTCCTGTCCACCCACATCACCCCTCCAAATTAAAGATGGTTTGATCCTTTTCATAGTGAATTTCCATAAGAGATCACTCTTCCTTGTCTATAAGAGGTGGTCCACATAGATGAGGTAGATCATGAGAGATGGTTCTGGACTGACGTCTTAGGGGATCTAGACCCTCCCCCCCTATATCCTTCACCTTCTAGCTGAGGTGGCTCTCCGTTGACAGGAGCGCACCCCACACATATACATACACTCTTCATCCTCAACATAGCTGAGGTAGTCTGGAGCTCAAGGCCTCTTTTAGAGATTATGCAGGAGCCCCCCTGCCCCAGGTGAGCTTGTTCTGGAGTTCTGAGCCAGTTGAGATGGCTAGAAGTGCCCCTCCTCTGTGGTTTAGGAAGGGTGGTGATTCCTCCCCCACCTCTAACTGGGGCCCCGCAAAGAGGCGGGCATGAAGGCAGGCAGGGGGCGCGCGCGGGA